AGAAGACTATGTCTCCTTTGAAACTCATTTCTTCTTTATGTGCCTCTAAAAACTATCGAACCCTAAAAGAAATATAAAAATATTTATATTCGAACATGAGAAGATTAGGAAACGAATTTGATTTTTCTTGCCTTTCAGGAATTGAAATCTGAGTCACGAAAATTGCGAGGAATTTTGGAGTTTCTCCGATCATGGCTAACGTCAACGTGCTTAGATAAATGACAATATAGTTGAGCCTATTGTAGAATTAATATACAGTTATAATGAAGTTTAGATAAATGACAATATAAATTGAACTGAGGTGTGTATATATACACACTATTGTTTATTAATTTACCATTATATTCACATTATTTATATTCGAACATGAGAAGATTAGGAAACGAATTTGATTTTTCTTACCTTTCAGGAATTGAAATCTGAGTCACGGAAATTACGAGGAATTTTGGAGTTTCTCCGATCATGGCCAACGTCAACGCGCTTATCGTGATTTCACTGTTCTTCGTAATCTCTCTGATAAGCTTTATGAGAAGCGCAAGAATGCAGCTCTTGAGGTTTATTTGTCTTTCCAAGTTGAAGAAGTCGAGTGTGTAACAAGAGTAATTAAGGGCAATTTTGTTCCGGGCAATTTTGTTCCCGGATTTTTACCCTGAACCTGTTTGACATGTCAAATCTAACGTATCAAGCCACAAATCGTCCTACAAAGCAAATTTTTGAACATTAAGGGGGTCTCATAAGTCTTATTTGTGTTTTCAGCGAGCCACATAAGATAGAAACACCTGATTAAAAAAAATTATTAGTTCAGAATCTTGATTGCAAACATTTTGAAATATAAATTTTTGAAGAGTTCAGACACTAAATTTATAGTTGAGCCTATTGTAGAATTGATATACAGTTATGATGAATTTTAGATAAATGACGATATAAATTGAACTGAGGTGTGTATATATACACACTAATGTTGTTTTATTTAATTTACATTATATTCACATTTATTTTCAGATGAAATTTTGTTTTAATATTAATAAAATCTAAATTATAAAAATCTAAATAATATAAGACAAAAATTGTAACCAATATTTAATATTAAGAAATCAAAATAAGTATAAATAATAAGTGAAAGTGAGCAATGACATAAAAAAAATTGTACGAGTATAAATAGCAAGTATAGTCAACGTGCAATACACATCATAAAAAGACTAGTGTAAATAATTAAAAGTGTGAATGGGACGACATTGGGTTCCTAAAATATATGTCCTAAGTTTATGGATTGACAATAATTAAGGATTTTAATTTTATTGGTTGAAAATTTTATTTGTTGAAAAATAAAGTTTAATTTTGTTAGATTATGTTAATTTCCTGTTTGAATCTAAATTCTATTAGGAAGTTTAATCTAACTCTAAATAAAAAATTATCAAGTTTCATTCCATTCTAAAATAAAATATTATAACTTAAAATTTTAATTGTTGAATGTGCGTATTATTATTGTTACCTATCAGAATTGAGAATTAGTTAGAATTGAGAATTAGCCCTCTCGAAGAATTAATTGGACATATATATTAAGAGAGAAATAATTATATTTGGATAAGGATGGTAGAAATCCTATGATATTTGTTAGTTAGAGTTTATTTAGAAATCTAATATCTTTTAATATATATTTATATATTATCAGTAGTTTCCCCATAAAATATTAATTATTTATGTCCAATAAATATTATAGCTTAGTTTGAATAAGTGAGCTGTTTAAGCTCGAACACTTGGACTACGTAAGTCCTACTCAAATCAAGTACTTATCCCAAAAGAAAATAAAAATAATTATCAAACGAAAATAAATAATGATATAGGGCATCATTATTCAAATCTTTTCCTTCCTTTTCTTTCTTATTTTTTGAAAACTAAGTAAGAAATTTGGTGCTCGAAATCTAACTGTGGAACGCCAAATAAGATACATGTAGCTGACTAATGTCATCGTGAGTAAATTTTTGGAACATCTCTCTTCCAATCATGTAGCTGACTAATGTCATCGTGAGTAAATTTTTGGAACATCTCTCTTCCAATAGTTTGAAAATAACTTTTTGTGTACAAGCTACATGAGAATAGTTTTCAAAAATGGAACAAGATGTTAGTAGAGTATTTTTTTTTTTAAATTTTAAAACCATTCACTACTTCGATACAAAGATATAATCCTAAATGTTAAGAAAGCAGACATGTTTTATGGATGAGCTTAATCACTAATTTCAAAGAAATTAATTTTTTTTATCAACATATAAACAAACTCAAAATTTAGTAATCATACCTGATGTAATAGATTAATATTTTGTGAACAAAAAAAAAATATTGATAAACTATTCTAGAGATCCCAACTTTAATCTTCAATGGAAACAAATTTTGTGGCATTGGATTAAAACCTTAATAAATTTATTGCACAAGAATGGGTTTAGGGCTTTAAGAGCATAAAACTAGAGTAATAATCAATATTTTCGAAACCGGATCGGACCGGTTAGGCACGACCCAGTAGCTGGTCCGGTTTGATTTGATATAAAAAAACGGATGATATAAAAACCGGATCAAACCGGAAAAACCGACAAAATCGGTATGAACCCGGTTTTACTTTAACTGTGTCGTTTTTTGAAAACAAAATACTAGCCTAACTTTTATCTATTCAATGATTTCATTGCCCCAAATATTTCTTTCCTTCTCTCTGCAAATCTTTCCCATATCTCACCCCTTGTATAAATGGAAAATCTTAAATCTTGTTCCCAAATTTCAAGTTTCAGATTAAGATTAATTTGATTTTCCAAAAATTTACATATTTTGTCTCTATCTCCTTTGAGTTTCAAAATTTACATATTTTGTCTTCTATCTCCTTTTTAAAATTCTTTTAGAATAAATGATAAATTTGGTGTCTCAATTTTAGATCTTTTGTCAATTTGGTGTATGAACAGAAAACTTTTCAATTGAGTGATTCAACTTTTTAAAAAAGTCAATTAAGTGTCAAAGTGATGATATGATAGTCGGAAATATGATTAAACAATTTGTGAATCCACAAATATCTAGTCAGTATCCGACGTAGATTGACATGACATACTTGAGTTAGAAAAACCTAATCTAACGTGGCAAAACTAGTGAAATGACTATCATACCTTATTTATTATTCTCCCTTAGGGCCGGATTTTGAGATATTTCTCAATTTATCAGGGCTGCTTTATCAAAAACCCAACAATATACTCTTTTTCCTTTAAATCTGCACAATTAATCACTTTAATTCCTTTCAAGGTCCCAATCCCATAAACCAGCAACAAAATTACTAAATTTTGATTCATAATTTCCAAAAAACAAAACTTCCTAATTCAAAAAACAAGAAAAATTAAAATTAATATTGATTGAACAGTACTATTTTGGATCGGCAAGGTTTTTTACAATACTATTTTGGATCGGCAAGGTTTTTTACAAATAATGCAAACGAGATTGAGCACGGCCTGTGCCGACTCAAAGAAATTAGAGTGAGAAAGCTCGGGATGCTTTTGAGCCTCCTGAAAATACTTTAGGAGAGCACCACAGTCCCAACACTTCAACGATGCTTCTGTTGTTGCGTGATCTATCGATGGCCATGGTAAAAAGAACTATAATGTTATTTTGAGAAAGGTCATGTCGTATTAAGTTTTTCTAACTCAACTATTACATGTCAGCTTATAGGATGCAAACTGAATATTTATAGGCCTACCAATTGCTTAATAATATTTCCGGCTACCACATTATCGGTTAACACTTAATTAGCTGTTTTTTTTTTTTTTTAAGGTAAACCACCCAATTGTAAACATTTTCCGTTCATATACTTAATTGACAAAAAATCAAAAGTCGATACACTAAATTTATCATTTATCCTTTCTCTTTTTATTTGTTTGTGAGAATCAGGCTTATAAGTTAAGTTTTTTGTTCGATTTATTCTATCTTATTTTCTATTTTTAATTCCGGGTTTTTGCATGGTAACTTTTCTTGTGGGTTGTTCTTCCTTCTTAGCCTTTTGCGAGTTTCTCCTTAATTTTATGAAAGGGTTTTTGCTTTATTTGCTTTGCTTTGGTAGCTAGGTCTTGTTTTGTGTTATTTGATTTTATGAGAGCATGCCCTTCTTAGGAAACCTTTTTTTTTTTTCTTCCTATACATCTATATTTTATATGTATTTTTTCTTCTATACATCTATATTTTATATGTAATATAATTTATAATTTATACTATATAAAAATATGGGAATAGGGGAGAATAATTGAATTTTCGATAACGTCCTTAAACTTTATGTGGATTCTTTGAGACATGATATAACACTAACTTCAAGAAAATTACGAGTATAATTCATGAGGACCCTCCGATGATTGTTGATTTGGATTCCATTAAAGACGACAGTGTTTATGTCGGTTGCAATTACTTAGGTTTCAATTTTGTGGTCAAGGAGGATGCACTTGACGTGTGATCATCACGAGTATCCGACACCGTTTTTGGTACCAGATCTATTTTCTTTTTTTTGCCCCTTTCATCCTCAATAAGTCACTGTAATGTCTTATGTTACAGTTCCCTCTCTGGACACAGCCGTAATATGTAATTTAACGTGGCTGTCTTTGTTTGTTTCTTGCTTTTTTTTGGGAAATATAATTGGAATATATGTTGCTTATAAGCTACATCTCATTTATCAGATATTAAATAAACAAAAAAATATTACTCTTGGGTACAAGACCAAGAATTGTTATAAGAAGACTTTCAGTAACTTCATAAATAACAAAGTCTGTTCTCCCGTTACTGTTGCACGTTTTGGGTAAAACAAGGACCTTTCCGGTGGATGATGAAATTACACTGACTGCACTGCAGAGCCAAGTCCTCGTCAAAAGGCTCAGCGCAGTTGCACTGCAGAGCCAAGTTCCTCGTCACAGAAAGGCTACAGGGCCCAGTATCACTTGGCTGGGTATAAAAACTTTCTCTTCTTGACCAAAGATAAACGGTTCTCTGGACTAAAGTATGAGAAAAGGTTTCTGGACTAAAGTGAGACCATGTGAATGGATTCCACTAAGTGAATAAGCACTACTTCTGTCAAACTTGATATATGGGTACCTTCCAAGAACACATTCAGGGTGAATAGAAATGTCACATTCTTTACACCCATAAAACCAGGGTGCATAGTTGAAGACATAAGTCCCAGGGTCTATTCTCATCTCGCATACCTCACAGTAATGGTCAAACGACCTGTCGCTAACAAAATCATATGTAAGCTTAAGAGGATGCTTCTCATCAAATCTGTGTCTAACTGAGATTGGTAGAGTAGCACATTTCAAGTCTAAACAGAAGTTGCAATCTTCACACTCACACTCAAAATAGCTGAACTTGGTTTCATAGCAAGCACTACAATGACAGCTATATGTCACGGGCATAGAGTCTCGCGCAGCACTGCGCTTGTGCGGCGCCCCGAGAGCCCTCCCGCTTGGCTCCGAGGCAAGCCTTGCCATATCGTACCGAACTGGTTTTGCCCTGCCATGGGCTCATCAGGAGAGCGGCCCAGCTCTCGACCAGTTGTGCCCGAGCGGAACACTACCCCGCCTGCATGCAGACTTTGCATGGGGTAATGGTATATGCTTTTACAGACCAAGAGTAAAGCGAAGTGCCAGAAGTAGAAGTCCTGGGTGTTTTATCTTCACCGTAGACAATCAGAGCATCCTATGTGCAGAAAACATGTCCACATATGAAGAACAACCCCATAGGTTATTGACAGCAGCCAACAATATCACGGTAACATAACACCCAACACAACGTTTCTTGTTGTCTCAAAACCTGATCAATATGGCCAACCCAACCAATGTTCATGGACTAAATACTGTTATGTTCTCAATGTAAACTAAGTTGATATTAAGTCTGGCATCATCATTTCAACATAAGATATTGCAATCATTTATAGATAACATCTCCAAGCCCGTATCAGTTACCAGTCTTAGTGTAGTTATCATTTTCAACCCCACACATTAAAATAGTGTGCTTGTCGCACACTCGAATAGAACAACTAATCGCAGACAGAGAACAATAATACCCACCATGGGTCTAAGTTTCATAATTCAATTTAGCCAAAATTCACACAGAATTGAACATCTGTGGATTTCCAACTATTCTGAAACGGAAAATTAGAAGTGCGGTTAATACATCATCCAGTCTATTGCTAATGTAAATATATCTAATAGCTTTTATTAGAGGTCAGTGAAAAATGCAAATTCTCTTAAAATGAAACCATCAATTTGACACATCAACCTCACAGACTATAAGGAAGATTGAGTCCCTTCGATTACCACACAACAGTATCAACAAGTGAAATTAATTGACTTCATTCAAGTGAAAGAATTGATCTCGAATTACAATGATAGGATCAATGTAACCCAGACAAACACAATCTGCTCCCAACAAGGCACAATCGATGTCGAGACTCGAATTGGCATAGAGCCCAACAATTGTAGACCATGTTGTCTAAAGAAATCTCCTGCCCACAGATCACCAAAAGCCCGTCCTGAAGAAATATGGTGGACCATTAAGAGAGGTCGAGAGGGTGTTTTTCCTGTGCAAGGGGATTGTTGAATCTCTCGAGTTCAGCTCTGCCACAGGCCTTTTATGGAGGAAGAAGCTGCATTCTGAAAACAATTGTAACTAGGACCTGATATTAGAACAATTGTAACTAGGACCTGATATTAGCTGCTTGCACCCACAACAAACATTGTTGTTTTCGTCATTTATTTCTTCTTCATTATAGATCAAATTATGAATATGGCTGAAATGTTCAAGCTCCATATCCTCCTCTGTAAAACTCTCTCTCTCCTTTTCCTTGTTCTTCCCAGATCTCCTCTCCATTTTCTTTCCTTCCCCTTTTTCCTTTTTTTATTTCTTTTCTCCATCCTGACACGCAGACTGTCTAGTAATAACTTCATTTATTATTATTATTATTATTATTATTATTATTATTATTATTATCCAAAAATCTTATACCAACCATAACTTTCACACCAGAAGTTCAATTACGCAGTAATTCTTGCATCCCATTTTATTTTATTATTATTATTTTTTAATGTTCTAAAAATATTTACAAGATTTCTAAATTTATATTATATATAAATAGATTTCTAAATATATATATATATATAAATAATTATTTTTCTTATAATAATCTTTAAAATTCATCGTTAAATGAAGAAATTTTACTACTATCTTAGTGAATTAAGTATGAAAAAGGACAAAATAACTTTTATTAATTAAATTCTTAATATACTTTGTTTTGTCAAACTATAAAAAAAAATAGAATGAAGGGAATATTTGACAAAATTGAATAATATTTTATTTATTTTCTATTGAATTGGGCTGTTTTGATTTTAGTATTTTTAAAATATAGTGTGGACTAAATTAATTAATGCACAACCTCTCAATAATACTTGAGTTGTTTTTGGAATGATAAATTTTAAATTCAAATCACGGTCAGAAGTGAATTTAAATTTTAAAACAAGTTAATAATAAAGTTAACAAACAATTCAAAAGGTCACAGTTCGTTTTTAATATATATATATACCAAATTTATTATTAGTGAGAGTACATACAACCGACAATTTAAAAGAGCCAAACGCATATTTGGACCTAGTATTAAATATATGCATTTGGCCAATTTAAAAGTTCTGCTTGTGTATTAAATATATGCACATACATGACCTGAAACCAATAAACAAAAATGTTGAACAAAGTGAAGTGATAGATTCCCTGAGTTATGGGTTTATTTTCACTCATTATCCCTTAATTATATTTTATATTTTTAATTATCCCTATATTTCAATTTATTATTTAAAATACCTAAATTACTATTTAAATAACATAAAAGTTTTTTCACCAGTTATGCGGTAAACAGCCGGTAATTTTGCTGACATGTACATGTTTTTTAACAAAAAAATTTCATATATGATTTTTTAATAATTTTTTTCTCTCCCACCTTGTAATTTTCTCTGCTGACATGTACATGTTTTTTAACAAAAAAATTTCATATATGATTTTTTAATAATTTTTTTCTCTCCCACCTTGTAATTTTCTCTCTCCTCTGTTCCCTCTTTCTCTCTCTTGTTTGCCGCTCACTCCATTCCTCTTCTCCATTGTACGATCACAGCTCCTCCCCACAGCACCGCAATCCCATTTTTATTATTTCATGGTCAAGAAGCAACACCAAGCCACCAAACACCAACCAAACCCTTCTCTCTCTCTCTCTCTCTCTCTCTCTCTCTCTCTCTCTCTCTCTCTCTCTCTCTCTCTCAATCTCCTCCTCTCTATCTTATGTTTCTGAATTCCCAAAACATCCTTTTCCACTCCAGCATTCTATATGATGTTCTCATCAATTAGAGCCATTCACAATTCCTTGAACAAATGATAACATTAATTCTCCTCTCTAAAAAAATAAAAAATTACAATCCACACACTCTCCTTCTATGATCTGCATCAGTTGTATAGATACTCTGTTAGTTCTCATTCAATATAATTTGAAATCACAAATATAAGCTCTCAATGTAACAAATTCCAGCTGCAATTCTTTGACAATACATCTAACAATATAATCTTTCTTCAACAACTTACAAATCAATCTTAAGCTCTCAAAATGAAAATCCTATAACATCCCATCCAGACGGCACCCAAATGACCAATGAGTGATCAACACAAAAAACAACAAACAACATCGCAAACCAAACAACCACGAAGCACCACACACACAAACCCCAAGCCAAAAACACAACACACCACACAAACAACAACCCACCAACGAACAAACCACAAACCCTCAAAACAAAACACACAACCCCCCCTCAACCCCAAACAACACAAACAAACACTCCAACCAAAAACAAAAACAACACCACCACCCACAACACCTAACACACACAAAAACCACCACCACAACCCAACACAACAACAACAAACCCCCCCACACAAAACACAACAAACACAAACAACCAACCAACCACAAAAACACACAAAACCCCACAACCACACACAAACCAACAACCCACAAAAAACCCAGCATCACCAAAACACCCAACCAACCAACACTACCAACACCCCCCAAAACAAACAAAAAAACAAAATCTCTCTCTCTCTCTCTCTCTCTCTCTCTCTCTCTCTCTCTATCTTGTTTCTGATCCAAACATCTTTTCCTCCATTAATGGTGTCTTATAGAGCATTCAATCCTGAAAATGTACACTTCATTTCTCTCTCTAAAAAAATATAAAAATTCAATACCACTCTCCTTCTTGATCTTCATGTTTGTATAGATCTTGTAGTTCTCTTTATATATTTGAAATCAAATTAAGCTCTCATGTCAAATTCCAGTGCAATTTTTGCATAATTTATTAATCTTTTTCTTACAACTTACAATCTTTAAAGCTCTCAAATGAAATCTTCTCCATCAGACGGATGACCATGGTGCTTGGGAGGATTTCCCTTTTTTTTGTAATTTTTAAATTTTTTTAATTTATTGGGTTAGTTTTTCAAATTAAAGATAACTATTATAAAAAAAATTATACCGTGGATTTTCACTTCATATAATTGTGGTTTATGCTTCCATTTTGCCTTTGTTATTTCTTTTGTGACCTTTAGCTTCTTACTATGTAATTTTTATCTAATATTTTTTCTCCCTTCGGTATCACTTTTTTTATGTATGGAGAAAGCTTTTTTAAAGTAGGTTTTCCTAATTTTTCATAAATAATTTACTACTTGTTTTGGAGTTGTGCTAATGTTATCTAATCTATTTTTAGTTTCATAGCTTTAAAAAATCTGAAAAGAACAGAGATGAACTAGAGCAAGGAGAGAAGATGAGCTCAGATTGGAGATCAGCGTTTTACTTTTTCTGGCAAGAGAGAGAAAGAGATGGGTAGAGGAGAGATGGGAGAGAAGGGTAGAGGAGAGATGGGAGAGAAAAATAAAATTTAAATGGAGATAACATTATTAAAAAAAAATATGATGTGGCATTTTGAAAGTAATTATTTGCTGACTAAGTAATTTCATGTCAGCATTTCACCTGCAGTTGACTGGAAAACTGGTAAGAAGACTTATGAGTTATTTCAATAAAAGTTCATGTATTTTTAAATTACGAATTGAAGTATAAAGACAATTAAGAAATGAGAAGTATATTTGAGGGACGATGGGTGAAAATAAGCCTTGAGTTATGTGTTTAATATCTAGGGTAAAATACAGTTTGTACTTAATTATATTCTAATTAATATTTTTTGTCCATTTATTTTCGAGAACTTACATTTATTTTCGAGAACTTATCATGATGTTTCTAAGGTTTGTTAAATTCTTTATTGGCTCCTTCCCTCTAAAAAATCAGCACCGTAAAGTTAGTTAAGTATTTTTTTGGATGGAATATGTTTATTTTTTAGATGAAAAATTCTATATTAACGACTTAAAAGTAATTTTTCAAAATAGAGTGAGGAAAGTGTGAATTAGAATATAATTTAGGAATCCAAATATATTTTACTCTTATATTTATATTATGTTATTTAGATAATATAAAATAATATAAGATATTAGGTAGTATTAATTTAAATCTGCAAAGAGATTTTTCTTTTTTTTTTTTTTTGAATAAGAATGATTTTTTTTTTTTTTTTGAATAAGAATGATGATTATATATTAAGAGGATCAAAAAACAAAACATTCTGAATAATTGCTGGAGGGACAGGACCCCACTCCATCAAACCAAACAAAGAATTAGCCCTTGACAACAAATGGGCACAAGGGTTCACTGATTTTTTTAGCAAATAGCAAAGCTATAGCACTGAACTCTTTAAGAAGAGTTCTACACTCATTAAGCAAAATACCAAAACAGGAACAATCAGAAACTAAAGTGCATAAAGCTTGGATGACCACCAGACAGTCACTCTCAACTTCCAAACTTTCCAACAAACCTTTATTCTTTAACCAGCTTAAGGCCTCACGGAAACTCAACAACTCAGCCATAGTTGCATTCATGACACCTTCCATAACCATGCTGCCACCTCCCTTTCATCGACCTTGTCATCCTACAACAGCCACCTAAACCTACTCTATGCGGTACAACATCCTATGCTGTATCGAAATTAAGTTTACATAGGCCCACTTTCGAAGCACACCACTTCACAGGAAATGCCAACTGACCTTGAAAGCCTCCATGGTGCTAACTTGTCTGCGCCATTTGCCATTCATCCATGATATGCCTAGCTCTTCTTATAATGATCGAGGATGGAACCTGTTTTTGAGCCCATACCATCTGATTTTGATTCCACCACAACTCCCATGCTAAAGTAAATGCTAGGCCCCATTTGTCCTTAGACACATTAATGAGAATCGACTCCAACCACCCAGATACAGAAGTAACTCTCGTTCACCACCCCAGGTTTTCACCACCCCAGGTTAGACTTGGCTCCATGTGGCTTGAAGCTATTGGAACATAATCAGACAACATTAAGTGTTCGTCTTCCTCATCCACCCCACACAAAGGGCATGTCCACCCCACACAAAGGGCATGTAGTGTTCATGTCTACATGGAGAGCTTTCAAATATACCAGGACAGGCAGACATCCTGACACCACCCTCCAAACAAAATTTCTGATCTTTCCAGCTATACCACAGCTCCACACAGCCTTCCAAAGCCGTTCATGAATAGGAGAATGATAATTTTTCTCCCTATATAGAATCTGATAATCGCTTCGAATAGAATAGCTACCTTTCGTTCCCCACCACCAAAACTAGGACTATTCAAAATCCATAGCACTCAACAGAATTTGTCTAATAATATTACACTCATGAGGAGAGAACAACATTGACAGAGCTTCATTGTCCCATATCCATCGCCCATGGCTAAACAGGTTCGAAACCATCATGTCTTCTATACTTGTGTTGTTCGATGATTGCACATAGGGAGCAGTTATATTGATTCTTTAAACATTCTGTGGATACAGTGAATGGCATTGATTCTTTGAGACATGATATAACACTAACTTGAAGAAAATTACAAGTATAATTCATGAGGACCCTCCGATGATTGTTGATTTGGATTCCATTAAAGACGACAGTGTTTATGTCGGTTGCAATTACTTTGGTTTCAATTTTGTGGTCAAGGAGGAAGCACTTGACGTGTGATGATCACGAGTATCCGACACCGTTTTGGTACCAGATCTTTTTTCTTTTTTTTGCCCCTTTCGTCCTCAATAAGTCACTGTAATGTCTTATGTTACAGTTCCCTCTCTGGACACAGCCGTAATATGTAATTCTCTGGACACAGCCGTAATATGTAATTTAACGTGGCTGTCTTTGTTTGTTTCTTGCTTTTTTTTGGGAAATATAATTGGAATATATGTTGCTTATAAGCTACATCTCATTTATCAGATATTAAATAAACAAAAAAATATTACTCTTGGGTACAAGACCAAGAATTGTTATAAGAAGACTTTCAGTAACTTCATAAATAACAAAGTCTGTTCTCCCGTTACTGTTGCACGTTTTGGGTAAAACAAGGACCTTTCCGGTGGATGATGAAATTACACTGACTGCACTGCAGAGCCAAGTCCTCGTCAAAAGGCTCAGCGCAGTAGGCCAGTGAATACATGGCCGGTAGAACTTTCTCTTCCTTGACAAGATCAAAGGTTTCTGGATTAAAAGGTTTCTGGACTAAAGTGAGACCATGTGAATGGATTCCACTAAGTGAATAAGCACTACTTCTGTCAAACTTGATATATGGGTACCTTCCAAGAACACATTCAGGGTGAATAGAAATGTCACATTCTTTACACCCATAAAACCAGGGTGCATAGTTGAAGACATAAGTCCCAGGGTCTATTCTCATCTCGCATACCTCACAGTAATGGTCAAACGACCTGTCGCTAACAAAATCATATGTAAGCTTAAGAGGATGCTTCTCATCAAATCTGTGTCTAACTGAGATTGGTAGAGTAGCACATTTCAAGTCTAAACAGAAGTTGCAATCTTCACACTTCACACTCAAAATAGCTGAACTTGGTTTCATAGCAAGCACTACAATGACAGCTATATGTCACGGGCATAGAGTCTCGCGCAGCACTGCGCTTGTGCGGCGCCCCGAGAGCCCTCCCGCTTGGCTCCGAGGCAAGCCTTGCCATATCGTACCGAACTGGTTTTGCCCTGCCATGGGCTCATCAGGAGAGCGGCCCAGCTCTCGACCAGTTGTGCCCGAGCGGAACACTACCCCGCCTGCATGCAGACTTTGCATGGGGTAATGGTGCGGGTGCAGACTTTGCATGGGGTAATGGACCACTGGGGCAGAACGCCTTAATCCGCTAAGCCGCCCCAACCCACGCAGGTTGAAACGCAGCTAGGTACGCTCTTCACATGCGGCCTTACACGGTTACGGAATTTGTCCGTAACATATAGCTTCTTTTGCTGAGTACTAGGCGAAGAAGGTGGTCATGCCCATGGTGCTTAAGAGTTGATATAATAGCATAACATCTAATATCAAGGTAGAAATCACATTTCTCACAATGGTAGCAAAATCCATGGCAATATTGCTCACAAGCATTACATTTGAACAACCCATCAAAGCTATATGCTTTTAAGAGAAGAGTAAGCGAGTGCCGGTGAAGTGGGTGTTTTATCTTAGTAGACAATTCAGAGCATTCCTTGTGCAGAAACATGTCACATTGTAGACAACCATAGGTTATTGAAGCAGACGACAACGGTAACATACACCCAACACAACGTTTCTTGTTGTTAACCTGATCAATAATGGCCAATGATCAATAATGGCCAACCCATGTTCATGACTAAACTGTTTGTTCTCTGTAACTAGTTGTTCGTCTGCATCATCATCACTAGTTGATTTTATAGATAAATCTCCAAGCGTATCAGTACCAAGTTTGTGAGTTTCATCTTCAACCCCAATTAAATGTGTGCTTGCGCAATCGACATGAACAACATAATCGCAGAGAGAACAATAATAACCACCATGGTCTAAGTTCATTTCAATTTGACAAATTCCACAAGATTGATCTGTGGATTCACTATTCTGAAGGAAATAGAAGTGGGAAGTGCGGTTATTTACATGTTTATGCTCTGTTATTTCTAATAGCTTTAGGTCGTGAAATGCATTCTTTAGTGAACCATTAATTTTGACACATTAATACAGATATAAGGAGATTTGAGTCCCTTTCGTTCCCACAAGCATCACAATGTGAAATTAATTGACTTTCAACAAGTGAAGAATTGATGCTCGGTAATTACCTTGTAAGTGTACCAGAACACATGGCTTCAAGGCACAAATCGATGTCGAGACTTCGAATTGCATAGGAGAACAATTGTAGACCATTTGTTTAAAGATTCTACTGCACAGATCACAAACCGCCCCGTCCTGAAGAATTATGGGCTGGACCATTAAGAGAGTGAGAGGGTGATTTCCTGTGCAAGGGATGGTTGATCTTCTCTAGGTAGCTCTTGCACAGGCTTTGTGGAGAAAGAAAGCTGCATTTGAAAACAATTGTTAACTAGGTACCTAACAATTGTAACTAGGACCTGATATTAGCTGCTTGCACCCACAACAAACATTGTTGTTTTCGTCATTTATTTCTTCTTCATTATAGATCAAATTATGAATATGGCTGAAATGTTCAAGCTCCATATCCTCCTCTGTAAAACTCTCTCTCTCCTTTTCCTTGTTCTTCCCAGATCTCCTCTCCATTTTCTTTCCTTCCCCTTTTTCCTTTTTTTATTTCTTTTCTCCATCCTGACACGCAGACTGTCTAGTAATAACTTCATTTATTATTATTATTATTATTATTATTATTATTATTATTATTATCCAAAAATCTTATACCAACCATAACTTTCACACCAGAAGTTCAATTACGCAGTAATTCTTGCATCCCATTTTATTTTATTATTATTATTTTTTAATGTTCTAAAAATATTTACAAGATTTCTAAATTTATATTATATATATGTATATATAAATATTTTTTTATAATAATTTTTATGATTCTTTATTAAATGAAGAATTTTTACTAATATTTTAATGAGTTAAAGGGTAAAAAAAGGTAAAATAATTTTTGTTAACTAAATTCTTAATATGTGTGTTTTGTCAAACTATGCAAACAAAATGGGACGAAAGGAATATTTGACAAAATTGAATAATATTTGATTTATTTTCTATTGAATTGGGCTATTTTGATTTAAGTATTTTTAAAATATAGTGCGGATTAAATTAATTAATGCACAACCTCTAAATATTATTGAGTTGTTTTTGGAATGATAAATTTTAAATTCAAATCACGGTCAGAAGTGAAATTACAACAAGTTAATAATAAAATTTAACAAACAATTCAAAAGGTCACCAGTGCGTTTGTTTTTATATATTATATATTATTATATATTATATATATATATAATATATATATATACCAAATATTTAATTAGTGAGAGCACATACAATCAACAATTTAAAAGAATCAAAATATATATCCTGTATTTTAAAAAAAAAACTTTATGGCCTCTTATACTTTAACAGGGTTTTATAAAGTACCTTTATTTATTTTATTCGTATTTAATAAATACCTCACCACGTTGAAATTAATGCTTGAGTATCCACGCTGGAATGAAGAGAGTGAAAGCTTGTTTAATTGCCATATTGTCGCCTCTTCCCATTTCTCCTCATGTTCTGTTCCTATGGTATACTTCTTTCTCTTATTATATTTGTCGCTGAAGATGAGGATGACCAAGAACGCGACCTAGAAACCTTTGCCATTGGGCTTGACCAAGCGGTAATAAATTCGTATTTCTTATCCGAAATTTCAGTCACTAAGGATGGGAGTTCAAATGGAAATTAATACTACTTGGTTCGATCTGGTTTTATGCGGAGTATTAAAAAGATATGGAGATGCTACGAATGGATGCCTGAGTGCAAGACATTTTTTCACTTATGTTGCTTGGCTAAAGCTTAACAGGTCTGTGCCATTTGTCGAAATTTTCTCCCGCTTCCGAAAAAAAAAAAAAAAAAAAAACCTTTTTTCTGGGGGCTTTTTTCCCCAAACACTGTTGTCGGAGCCTGGTTGTGACTTTGTCAGAGTATGCCGCGATCAAAGAAGGAGGATCAAAGAAGGAGGTGATTTTGATTGTTTCTGCAGTGATGGTGACTGGTTTGAGGTATTCTTGTTTGGTTTGTTTTTGGAACTATAAATTTTTGTTCTTAAGTAGGCAAAGCTAAGTTTGTAGGATTTTGATTTTTATTATTGGTGAATTGTGTTTTTGATTTGCTAAGGCAGAGAATGGAAAAATAGAATACTATCTCTTTTTTATGTTGTAAGAAACTTAGGATTGAATTGAGTGTTACTGCTTTCTTACATTGAACTTAACCTTTTTTTTTTTCTTTTTTTACCTTCACTATGGAATGATTGATCTTTTCTTTTTTATCCCCTGAAAATCATGTTGTGTTAAATCATTTCTCTATGTCCCAACATTTCATTAGCAATTCGATTACTGTATATACCTGTAAATGACATTAGGATTAATATGCAGGGATCTTGCGACCAACAACCCTTTTTCTTATTTTCTTGATTTTCTTGATTTTGTGGTTTAACTTTCTTTTTCTAGTAAATCAAGTTCTGCTCTTCTTTTTTCTAGTAAATCAAGTTCTGCTCTTCTCTGATTTTGTGCTCTAAAGGTAATTAAAATACTTTTAGAAAGCAAAAGTAGGTTTGTTTTTTCTTTCTCTCAATTTGATGGGTTTTGAAAGCAAGACGGAAGAGGAGGAAGGAGGAAATGACAATGTATGATGTGGCATATGATGTGTTTCTCTCTGTCTCTAACATGTCATTATATTTTTCTAGATAAGGGGATTTGAGTTGCACGCGCTTCATTTGCCTAGGATAAGTATTTATTAAATACGAAAAAAATAAATAGAGGTATCTTATAGTACTCTGCAAAGTATAAGGAGTCATAAGATTTTTTAAAAAAATTATATGGTCCAAAATATACATTTTTGCAAATTTAAAAGTTCCACTTTTGTATTA